TATCAATAATAAGGGCTAAATACAAAATATCACAAGCATTAATGGCATTAAGCAATTTAGTGTTTTAGGGTGGACATTTCTATTAAGGACTGATCATTGAGATTTCATTTTCTACGTAAATTGAATTTCTGACAATTCTACTCAATTAGGGCTTCATAATTAATCATATAGTAACTGCAATAACGATGTTGCTCTCAACAATAAATTATATTTTATCTGGTGCAATACAGACATGGTGAGTTTCAAGTGCCTAGTTTTAGTGTCAGTTTTGATTCAAAGATTTGAGGCATGTTTTATTTATACTGCACATTTCTTAAGTACCGAGTGAAATTTAAGGCTGTTCTCTGTCAACTTAAGTTTCAGAGAAATCCTTTGCCCATTTGCTAAAGCAGAATCTTTTTGTTTTAACCTCTGGCCTGTCAGTGAGCGTGACAGGAGGGACTGTGTTGGCTCGGACTGTGGAAAACAAGGCCTTGCCACTACCCCCCCTGAGCAGAGAGCGATAAGCACTGAAAGACAAAAAGTTTAGGGGCTGGCCGACTAAAACAGAAAAACACAGTGATCTCATAATGGAAAACCTCCACAGTATGAACTCACAGATGTGTGTTAGGAGTGGGGTAGCAAGAGAGAAGCAAAACTAGTGCATGTCATTGATGTGATGAGAGAACGCTTTGAGGATGACTGTCTTTTATCTATGCCGAGCGGAGCTGACAACCAAGAACTTGAATAAAAAAGTACAGCGAGACAGCAGTCATCTCGAGCCTCATACAAAAACCATGAGTACTGGAGCCCAAATCTTACAAGTCTGCAGACCTATTTTTCTGATAAATGCTTTATCACAGCAGTTCTCTGGATGCAATAAAGGCATAGCTTGCGATTGTAAGAGTGTGTGTGTAAACTATGCCCTAAAAATGACAGTTTTTCTGTGGCAGTTTTGCCATTTTACAAATCTGCACCCCGTCTAATCCTTAACCACATAACACAGAAACATAAAACATCTAAAGACAACTGCCAAGGTTTTCACATCCCATAACATTTCCCATCCAAAGACTCAGTTTCCACCATATAAAGTGCTGAATGGTGATCATAGGAAAATAAGCATTTTCCCCTTCCAAACAACAGGCATTACACAGATTAACAGCCTTTGTTGAAACATACCATTACCACATAAGTCCCTGTCAAGAAGGACCAGATGTCAGATAATAGGCTGTGTAGAGTGAGGTAGGTTCTGGCCTGGAGCCATTGAACAAGTAAGAACAGCTTCTTCCATATAAACCTCTTCACTTTATGGACAGCTTGTTGTCTGTGAGGGCAACCCCCCTTATAACTCGAGACTGTATGTGTTGGATATAGGTTACACAAAGGATAAGTACACCCCAGTATATCCACCAAACAAGGTATACTTGTGGACAAATGAATGATCAATATCCATTCGTTACATTCAGCAAGGCCCTGGTTTTAAAATCATTTGCACATTTTGTGGCAGGCTCCCCGGTCTATAAAGGATATGTGAATGACTGTCACCAATAAACCATATAATGTTAGAGAAACACACCAATGTGTTGCACAGTTCTAATAAAGTCATGAAATTACATTTCACATGTTGTAGTCTGCGGATAAAAAAAAAAATTGCTTTCGTTGTGTACAAAGGACCATCTAAGTCCATCTCATTAAACACTGCTGGGGATGTTTATTGGCTTAGCTGAGCTTTGCCTATGAGCAGCAAGATACAGGCATTATAGGTTTCAGATTGGATGCAAGACCCTGAAACCATACATACATACACATTTTATTAAAAGGTATAATCTAATTAACTTTTTTTTAAATGAAAAGAGCTGAGAAAGAGCATAAGTTGCTGTACAAAAAAAAAAGGACATATTACCTTTCCTAGACTTAAACCTTTGTTTTTCTCGCCAGCTTTGGCATCACATCCGTGCCTCCTCTGCTGCTGCTCCGGTGCCGTGTCTGCTGCAGCGGTCCGTGCGGCTCCTCAATCCAAACTACCCGACCCGTCTGCACGTTTCCAGTCGCTCCGAAATAGCTTGAGCGAGTGACTCTGAAAAGAACTGCACCGATCAAAGCGCCCACATTCAGTCCCAATGCAGAACACGGTCACAGTAGCGACACCCATGGGTGTACGCGGCGCAAGCTCGGTCTGCAGACGTTGCAGCTGCCGGACTGACGGCTACTTGTCGCCCGCCAAACGTGCCAAGTGTCGGGGCCATTCACATCTACAGTCATATGTGTATGTGTGTGTGTGTGTGTGTGTGTGTGTGTGTGTGGTGCAGTCAGAGCCAGTGGGTGCCCAGTGCCACGCAGCGCCGCAACATGGAGCACTGACCTGCCTGCCTATTACTAGGTCAAGTCAGTTAAATCCATCAAATATGATACTTCCGGTCGTACCTTTCAAAATAAAAATCTCAATAGTTGCAACGTTTATAACACCTGGTGTAAAGGGCGCAAATCACAATCAAATATACTTCACGAGCATAACGAAAAGGAATTTATTTTCATTAATTAGGTTTTTGTCATCATCACGGACATATTTCCGGTATCAATCGTTTTTGTTCTCTCACCAGCTTGACGAAGCTGAAATCCCAGGCGAGCAGGCGAAACAAACATATAGGTGGGTGGGAGGCAGGCTTAATGAATTATTTATGATGAAAGAAGGCACTAATACCTAAATCATTCATAATTATTCAAGAGAAACAAGGTCGATGCTAATCAAACTTCAATTCCTCTCCCCTGCAGATCACGGCATTTGACATTTGAAATGATAGATGGAGAAGAGGTTGGCGAGTGTCAGACATTTTCCCAACCTCTTCCTCAATCGGTCAATGAAATGACAGGCCTATCAGCCAGAATTACACTCAGGGATGCTGTATATGGTAACATTAACTATACACAGTGCTTGATTGTGTCAATAGCCTATAATAATAGCCTATATCGTAATTAATAACAGCCTATATCATAATTAAATTAATACACATTTTAAAGTAGAATGTTTTGAGAAAGATTTATATTGATTATATTTGCAGTTGTTGTTGGTGGTGGTCATAGATTAATGCCTTTTTTATTTACCACCACATTATTATAATTAATAATATAATAATATTATTATTATAATTAGCATCTGTATTTAAATGAACTTAAGAGGTAGAACGCTTCCTTGTAGTTGCCTCCACAAAGTGACTTGGGGTCACTTTATGAGGTTTCTGCACAAATCTACACAGCCACTCATCTTTAGTTGATTATATACTTCTCAAGCACCTCTTCTGTGTCCTTCTACACCCTGCCAAGAAACTGGCATAAAGACCTGATACCATTTTTGTGACTGCTGCCTCTTAAGTGAGGTTTTATAGATATGCAGTGGCAGCAAGACACAAAAATCAACAACTCTCTTTCCAGTTGACCATTTAACTTTGTTATTGTAATGTTTTCATCTTCAGGCTCATTTCATTATGTGGCAGGAGAAAGATGTTCTATCTAAAGATGTGTGCCATATATAAACCCTATTTAACCAGGCTTTAAGAAAGAAGGAAATCCTTTGTTACCACATTTGACACTTGCAAGCTTTAAGACATGCCAACATCATACATCTCAGCTTGTAAGTGATGTAGCTAAATATATCCATCAGTTGGTATAACATACATATTTGTACTTTAAAAGGTTCCCACTCTTCAAATGGCAATGAGAAATACCTAAGGGAGGCCCTGGATACTGGCTTTGGTGCAGAGATCCTGTCAGTGTGAGTGTGATGGACGAGGTGGTCACAGATTGCGGTGTGGAAACACACATGCTTCCACTGGCATTGAATCAAATGCCTATACAAGCCTTCCCTCATGTAGGCTATTTTCCCTCCACCTCAATATAAAGAACGAAAACAGTAAAGGTGAGTGTGCAGTCCACTCTCCCATTGACAGATTGCAAGGGGAGGTGAGATTAATGGGGCCTCACACAAGACTGCAGGGAGATCAGCAGAGTCGTGGGGAGTCAGAGAAGTAAGAGACTGACTCAATGAGGCCTGGCCCGGGATCTTCAGCTAATCCACGGGAGCTCTACTCATCTGACATAGCCATATGTGTGATGGCAGCTGATATCTTTTGAACCACACTCAGATGTCATGCCAATGTGAGACTGCAAGATCACTATGCTTGAGCAGAGATCCAGACAGAAGTTTGTGTTGTTCTCAAATGTTAACAAAAATAAAACATGTAACATGTAAAATGCCTGCCCAGAACATTATTATTAGTCTTCATGTCTTTAATTAAAGCACAACAGTGGACAAGTACTGTCCTTAAGTTCTTTTCATGCCACTTTCTACTTCTCCACTAAATCTCAGAGGGAGATATTATACTTTTTCTTCACTACATTTATCTGACAGCTTCAGTTAGTTACTTTACAAAGTAAGATTTGAACACACAGAACATATGAAGACTTAATGAAAGTATGATAGTACAGAAAATATGAAATTATGATACAGGTACAGCTAGTATATAACTGTTTTGATAATCATTTGTCATTTTTCATGTAAAAACATTTCACAAAGGTGAATGTTTTAATGTATATTTAATTATTTTGAGGTTTGGACTGACAAAACAAAATTTTTACAATCAAAAACAATCAGGAGATTAATCCATAATGAAAATAATCATTAACTGCAGGCTGATCCTCAACTAACAACAACAGTGAAATCCTGCTTTTACATTAAAACAGGAGGAATAATATATTATATTATATATACAGTCACAGGGGACATTTTGCATTCTGCATTGATTACTTTTACTTTAAGCTAATTTTCCTGATTATACTACATACAAGTCCCATTTTCAATGCAGGACTTTTACTTGTAACAGAGTATTTTTACAGTGAGATATTACTACTTTTACTTAAGTAAAGGATCTGAATACTTCATCCACCGCTAGACAAAATTTAGGCCTAATTGCAGCTAACAGAAAACTAAAAATCTTACCGAACCTTCAGTAGCAACAGTAGCCATGTAAAAGCAAATTCCCTCAGGACTTTATTTCCCAGAATCATTTACAACAATATATTCTCCAAGAAAAAAAATGGGGGTAACGTCACATTCAGAAGGAATAGGAAACATCTGTACATTTTGGGGAAAACCCCCCAAAACAAACTACAATCATTCTCTCATCTTTTTTACAATTGTAATTTTAACACAAAAAGGGGTCAGATTTTATATGTAATTTTTATTAGTAGCCTATATATGCACATGTTTAAACCTTAAACGTGAATAGTGTATTTTGAATGTAAGGACTAAAAGAAATCTATTTTAATATTTTTCTAAATGAACAAACGTCAATTTTCCAAAAGAATAATGAGGTTTACTTTTTTCCTTGCAAGATTTTGCCTTTTATGCTTATAGTGAAAAGAGTATACACAATAAAATGATGTAATTGCATTTCTGAAAACGTGTGAAATTCAATCTGCCATTCTATTTTTTGGTCAAATGTAAAACAAAGATATTTTGGTTGGGAGAAAACAAGTGTGAAGTTTCAACATTATCTTTGTTTTGTGGTTTCAAAGCAGTAGCCTGTCACACAGTCAACACACCTGACAGTGGATACAGGTGTTACACCCTGCTGCAGTCTTGCTTTCTCCAGGTTTATTTCATACCTGGTGGTATTTGAGCCTGCATATTCTCTTCCACACTAGCTAGCTGCCATCTGTTGTGTTGCATTTATGTCCCAGATATTGTGAACGACTTTTGTTTCAGCTGTACCTCAAAACCGGGAGCGACAGGGTGCTGAAACCCTCAGTAGCGCTGAATATGTTCAGGGTGCAAAGGAAACAATTAGATTTGGAACATCAACTTCATTACCTCTTTTTAAGATTTGTTCTGTTAGAATCAGCCTCATAGATGGTATAGAGAGATCCTAGATACAGAGGTAAAACAAGAGATAACTGGCATGCAGACTTTTTCAACACTTATGCAGACCATGTCAGCTGCAAGGAAGGTAACAACTTAAACAATACCACAATAGGAATTTACACCATATGTAGAAATTACACCAGCTGTGGAATATACTCACGGCATATTACCACAGTTTCAGAATGTCAGCAGCCAACACACCTCTTAAGTTATAGCCTGCAGCTTTCCAAGACTTACACTCCAAAACCTCTTTGCTTGCAACCTGCAGTCGTCCCCCCTGCAGCTCTGGGAAAAATGCTTTGTCTAAGCTGGGAAGCCTATGGAATAAAAGCTCACTGTGCTGCCGCCTTCAAGCTATCTCAAGTGGAACCCAGAGCATGACTGCAGAGCTGGCGATGGCTTCGAAGATTCCCCACAGAGTAAACGCCCCCCTGGCATCCAGATGTAAGTTTTCTAGGATACATTTTGCGCTGCAGGTTGTTGCAGGATGCAACTGGACAGTTTTCTCACTACCCATCTATTTTTCTTAAAGCTTCTATGCTATTTCATAATATTAACTGTTACTTGATATCTGCTGTGTTTTTATTGCAAGCCAATATGTTTGATTTTCTTTGGAACACAGCTTTTTTGCATTTCCTTTCCCATGGCAATAAAATACACCCTGCATGGTATCACAACAAGCACAGGTGTGAGTATGTGAAAGACAGAGTATTAAATGGATCCAGCCATGGAGGAAGCAAGCAAACGCAAAGCCAAGACATCCTGAAGAGCAAGAACAAGATGAAACACCTTTTCAGCAAAACAAACATCAGGGAGATCACAGGCTCTGAGCGTCCCTCCAGTGCTGAGATCCTGGACAACTTCCTGGGAGGTTCCACTTGTGTCCCACATCCTTCCACATCTTTGATGTACTGTCCAGTGAATCTAAGAGAAGGAGGCAGATGGTGACGTATTAGCCCCCTGGCAGGACACATATAAAGAGAGCGAATTGATCATTTTTCTGAGGTCAATTTATCAGTTAACCTCAGCCTCCACCAACAGCCTACATAGCCTGCAGTCTTTCTGTTCACAGTTAAGTCTGTCAAGAATTTCAAGTGGAACACTTAACAGTCTCACTCCTCTCCTAGAGCAATCACATGTGGCACCACTGCCACCGACCACTGACAGAGTCAGGGCTTTGGGACTTTGTGAGAACATCTCTCTCAGCTGGCGAACATCACAGACAAGCCTGGCCTTCAGCCAGGACTTGCTTCTGTCAAGTCACTCTGCTCTGGTCAACAGGGAGGAGGATGCTACTCAGAAAGGAATCAGTATCACTGACACATTGCAGCGTTCACACGAGACCTGGGGTCCGAGTGCCTCTGGACAAATAGGTAATCTGAATGATGATGATGATTATGACATTTTGGGATATCAAAGAGCTAGAACACATTCAAAAATGTCAAGCAGCCCAGGGGAAAGGCTACTCCTGCCCAAAACGCCTAGTCTCTAAAAGATAGCAACAGAGACATTGTATATGAGACCCAAACATTATTTTCCGAAAATTACATTTTTGCTTATCTGTAGGACTTTTTAACCTAAAATACAGTATATAATTGATCAGTTAAGTTATTAAGTTATGATAATGAAGTCATAAATCTGCACTTTAAAAATTTAAATGCCGGTTTATGACTTTATTCTTATGACATTGAATTTGAATTATGTGATCTTATACTCTCTGTAGGACCAGGGTCGGATATGCCACAATGGCGGCAGTTCACCAACCAAAACTGTTGCTTTACTTCATGATAGCACTTGTCTTGCTCACACCTGTTTTTAGGTGGACATGAATGAACTCTATAGCCTAAGTGTTGACCTTCAGGTCATTGATATCCAAAACTTTACTGCCACCACTGGTGTCACCTTCCATATACTATACATTCTCATATTCAACACACTATTGTTGTAAACATACAAAGAGAATACCTCCCAGTTAGCTCTGTAGCAGTTACCATTAGCACTGGGTTATTTGGAGGCAAGGTACCTGGCCAAACCTGAAACCAGAATGTTCCAGTTACACGGTATGCTTCGTAGAGCCACTAGGACACCCCCAGAGGCTGTTGTTAAATGATTACCACTATAATTATTTACCAGCAGGTGCTTTGATATGTGAAGGTAATTGCCTTGAACTATATCATTGCATACCAACTAGATACATCAGTACATAAGGAGTCCGAATAAATGAAAATGTATGATTGATATTATGCAAGTTATCATTTTAATATCCTAATATTATTTTTGTTTGTCCCAATTTGGAAACAGCACCAAATTAAAAACAAATGTCCGGCTCCAAACACTTTGAAAATATTCTGTGATAAACTGAAGGACATTATATTTTTGCTATATTCGTATAGCCAATGCATCCCTACAATTAGGATGAGACTCAGACAGAGGACGAGTCCCTCACCAGAGACGTGTGACACTGATCCTCAGCTGTACTCCATTTAAACATCTTGGCTAATGTGGAACTCAACACATGAGCCTTACAATAAACCACCATAAACAACTTTTAATTGAGCGGATCAATTTGGCATAGGACATGTAAAAGCAGTGGAGACATACAGTAAAGCTACAATATTTATTACATTTTATCAAGTATTCATCTTGTTAACAAGTGTATTTATTTTCACAATTGCAACATCAGTATTCATTTAGTTTTACAGAACATAAAATAAAATATTCTAAACATATATCTGTCACTAACAAACGGTTATTTTAAGAAAATAAGGATTTACTCTTTTGACACCATTTCATTACATGAGGTATTTCAGTACACGGACGTTGCTTTGTTTTAAACTAATCATTTCACTTAGGTGCAAAGTACATGTTCTGCACCAACACCTACAACAGTTAACTGCATACACTAAGACTCTAAAGCAGTATTCAGTCAATGCTGCTTTAGAGTCTCAAGTGGATGTTACTGGGGAACTGGTTCTAACAATGTGCATCACTGTCACATAAGCGAAATCGCTGATGCTCCTCTTTGAGATTCCAGTGATGTGACTCAGTTCTCCCACAACCTGCAATGCATTAAAAAAAAGCCTACATCAACAAAAACTGCTAGTATGGAACATATTTGTAATACACTAACACTAACTATGCTTGGATAAGGCAGATGACTTGATATTCTTTGATATGGCTGCATATTATGTGTACAGTTTTACATTTTAAACACGGATAACTAAGACTATTGTGAATGCAGTAAAGGTGTTTCACCTGTTCCCATTGTCTGACAATTAGGATGAATGCAGCCACGGCGATGACACCCACACCAAGAAGCATGCAGTCTTCAGTCACAGTCACAAACCTCTCTCTGTTTAGAAAAGGGTGAACTTAGCAGCTATAATAAATATTGTTTTACATTAATAATGGCTCTTTGGCTATGTGTAACGTAAAAGTCATCGCTGGGAGAGATGAACCCACAGAGTTATCACCTAACTCTGCATTTGTCTTCAACTCTACGGAGGTTTCTAATATCTTTCAACTGGTTGTGTTGGATGACTCTGAATGCTCTGCTGCCGTTGTTTTAGACCCACATAAAACGCCACTGTGCACTACCTGCCCAGCACCACACGGTAGACAGACAAAGTATGTGACTAGCTGGGGAACATAATAGAGCATTTAGCAGCTAAGGAGTCAGAACCAACAAACAAATGAAAGATAATGTTGCTCCGTGTCTGAATGTTTAGGAAACTGTTTGTTAACAAGTTATCAACTCAAAAGGTGTCAACATTGCGTTTACAGCTTGTTTCTGCTGCCTCCAAGTGGTCGAAAATTCAGCTACCTTAGGTTTAAGATTCTACCCCACCGAGGTTATGAGGCATTACTCAGTCCTAAGTTATTAGCTCTTGGGTATATGCTTCCCAGGGGGGAGTAGTCTACTCAACTGCCAGTCCAGCAGCTTGACTACCATGACAGTAACCACCTGTCCCAAAAAAAGTGAAAATGTGGCTCGAAAAGAAATGTAGTACCTCTGTTCTCTGGATGGGGTGACACACTGAGTGGTAATCACTAACAAGGAGTCGTAGATGGCAGTCCTCTGTAGGCTGATGAACTGGAGAACATGGTGGCACAGGTGATACAGGCGCTCAACAGGGATGGATGGCTCATTGTGGCCTACAAAAGTTTAGTCACCTCTTTCAAAATCAGTACAGCTGTTCAATGAACAGTGCTTAATTATCTTCACAGAACCTTTGATTTAGCACTTTTTTGTATACTTAACAGAAGTTGCTCGGTGTTAAATTTATCTTACCAAGCACTTCCAGAAGGATTTCCACATACGTCAGAGGGTTGGGGTTGTTTAGTCTGAATTCAAGCACTTTTAATACCATCAGCTCTGATTCCAGGACAGTCTGCTTGGAAACACTGTGGCCAACTGATTGCAGAAAGGATACAGCAGTACTGTTGTCGATTATCTAGAAAATATTGAAACGATAACAGGAGATTATTTTATTTCTAATCACAGGGAATGGACTTGTATTAATCGTAGGTGTCGCAGAACTTACGTGACTGTGCAAAGACAGTTTGCTTGCAAGTTGCACGCAGGAGAAGATGATGAGGTGGAATTTCTCCTTCAGCTTGTCTAACACGGCATCCTCATAACTTTTTGGTGGTTCGGCAGCTGCACCTTGAGGTGTGGGTGTGGTCAACAAATCTGTAACGTGCTTGACCATGAACCTGGGGGAGATAATTATTTACAGAAAGGCAATGCTAAACCAATATCACACTGGGTGTGGCAGGGAAAGGTAAATATGCTGATCCTTCTTACCTTTGAAGTAATTCAACTGCATGGTATCCAGCCAGTGGATCAAGTCCAAGTTCTTTAGCTATCAGGAAGATGTATTCTACGAAACACCAGAGACGGATGCAGAGCGTTAGCTTTAATAAAAGCACGAGATCAGCTTGTTGGGACAGAGTTGACAGACTGTAATCCGAGCATACAAAACACATTTGAGGAAAGGAATTAATAAGGCAGTACCATGCGTGCATTAAAATGGAGGCAGTAAATGAGTTAAGGCAACCATATGAAGTGACACGTGCAGAGCTCTCTTGCGAAATAGGATCAATAAAATGTAATATGGCCTTTCACTCTCCAGGCATTATTGGCTATTCACTGTCACGTTTGAGCTCTTTGCAGTAATACTAATTTAACATACTAGAAATGAAAAACTATAAATGTCCTGCATCATTTATCAAGGTACTCGACGTTGACATCAGTGGTTCTCAAAGTGGTGTACAGGGACCCCCAGGGGTCTTTAAGGGGGTTCCCAGCAAAACCTTCACTATAATGTCTTCTATAAGTAACACAATGACTGTACGACCAGAATATATGACTTTTTTGGTCATGGGTTTCATATACTTTCTGTAATAAAACATCTAAAAGTCCCACCAGATGAGGGACCCTGTGATAAAATCTTATCAAATGGGGGTCCATGGTCTAATTTGTGTCAGTTTGGGGGGTAGTTGACATAAAAAAGTTTGACAGCCATTGTTCTAGATGATGAGATAAAATAACACATGGATGGTCCAGTAAAGACGAAGGAGAAAATCCTGGAAAGACTGTAAGTGAAGAACAGTTACTTGAAATTCTGATTCTCTTTTCTTTATACATATTTATTGCGTGAAAAAAGCCGTGCAAGTAAAACATGTAACACTGAATCACAACTATGCTGGGTTCTCAGCACCACCAGCCAACACTACAAAAAATGTATCATGACTGGGCAGTTTTTCTATTGATCACTCAGTGTGAAAAAAAGTATTTATTAATTATTAACTCTGTGAGAGTGGCAGGTTACTTAATTAAGCCAGCACTCAAAAAGGTAGAGGCAACGAGGCAACTTTTAACAGAGATATCTCCATTAATTTAATTAAATAAATTGTATATTAGCTGTTATGTGAACAAGGAAGCATATGGATGTTAATAACAATCCATTAACATAGGTTTCCATCTGCTCCCTGTCACTGGCTCACAGGGTTCCTCTGCTGTGGTGCTGGCAGCTTGGAGACTTATGAGGAGCTTGTATTGAGAATTGGCCTACATAATAACAGGACTCACAGCTCCAGGTGTATGAAAGACTTCAGAGTCGTGACAGGGTAAAGTGGTGGGCTATTCAGAGATGTCCTGTACAGCATAAAAACACCTACTGTACTGTAACTCTACTAAAAGCCTATATATAGAACTAGTACATATAGTAGCAACCATAAAAGATAGTTTCACGTTGTTTTGAATTTATCCCATTGTCGAAACAATTGTAAGTTAGCAGTAAAGTATTTTACGTGTAAGTTAATGTGTGAAACATTTTCGTCTTGCGCGATAATGTAAACTAAGTAAACTAAATGTATTTTTTTCTATTTTATTTTTTGTAGTCATATGCATCAGAAACTGGTAAAAATGTCGTTATATTTACGCAAGGTATCATTATGTTAACGTTTTTTAACGTTAGCTGAAATGAAAAGGTCTAACTTATTACACTTTAGGCGTTATGTTGGCTCTCTGTGGTATAATAAACGTTACTTACCCATCAGTCTTTTATCTTTGAAGTTCCCACTACATTTTGATAAACTGTTGAGGTTATCTTTGTTTCTTTTGTTGAGATTAACAAGGAAATCTGTGAGCAGGTCAAACGAGGCCTCCCGAAACTTGAAACGTATTCTTTGGCTTGGAGAACAAAATAACCGTTTCGCCATTTTCACTCAATAACCGTTGACGTCTGTGAGCACAAATGCTACTTTTACACACAACTAAATCGACAATTACGACAAAAATTAATTAGAAAAACATAAATAAATCGTGTTTGAGGTGTATTTTTCCCGGAAGATGGCGCTATTCTCCCGGGGTTTCACCAGGTTTTCACCTCCACCCCAGGACCGTTCTTCTAGCAGGAACCAATCATCGCAGCCACAGGGATTCATTTGGATGTTGCACCATTTTTGTTTCGCTCGCTTGGTACTTGTTGCAGCGCTCATATCAGCGTAGATCTCACAGCATACTGATGTGCTACGCGCGTCGCAGTTAACCGCCACCAACTCAGCAGATCATTTGAAACTCGGCTGTGCGCAGGACGGTTGCGAAACAACGTTTCATGCCTCTTATGTGACTGCAGACATGGCTGACAAGACGCCGAAGGACTCCAGTGCTCCTCTTGCAACTAGGATAGACCCGAGTAAAGAGGGTCTTTCTCGAGAACAGATGCACTTCATCAGACAAGTAGAGCTTGAACAGTGGAAGAAGAAAACACAGAAGCTGCGGACACGAAATGTTGTGACAGGACTCGCCATCGGGGCACTCGTTCTGGGAATTTGTATCCTTGCCAAGCACACTAACGTCAACACAAGGTGAACTATGTAACGTTAGCTTAGCATGCTAAAGTTACTGTGAGGTTCCTGGTTAGATAAGCCGATATAAAGCTTAACGCAAGTTTATCACCTGTTAGAAACTTTATTGGAAGTTTCAAATATTTGATTGACTGGAAGATGTAGCCTCAGTTAGCTAAAATGTATTAAAGTGCGCTAACGTTACAATGTTTCCCATTCATTGGATGCTACGTTAGCTAAGACAGATGTCACATTAAAGGTGGTTTTGAGTGCATTAGTAAAGCAAAACACAGGCTAAATGTTATATTTTATAATCCCTAGGTAAATTATTATTTAGCCTCAAGATTCATTCAATCGACTCTTTAAATGTACTCAGGTTCAAGCTTCTTTTAGCAAAGTAACAGAAGGTGAGCCACGGTCACTCTGCCTGATGCTTTCCCAGTGTTGGATGCAGCAGTTGTGTGCACTTAATTGAACAATTGGTGATAAAGTGCTTATGTTAAAGTTGATTTATTTAGTTAAAAATAATGAAATTCCAGTTCACAATTGTATAAGATGCTAAATCAGTTTAAACTTGCCATCTCAAAATATACGTATTTTTCTTTTAATCTATTTCCTGGCAGAAATGGGCTTCCATATTCACACCAATTACAACGTTTTCAATGACAAACACAATTTGACCACACTAAAGCTTTCAAAGTGACCGTGGAGGTGAATCAACAGCTTTTAACCTTCATGAAGTTAGGAACTACTATTGCAGGGACTTCATTAGTTTTAGTTAGGTGTACCTAATAAACTGAGTATATAAGATAAGGCATTCACACAGACAGCTAAATGTTATCTGTTTCAAACTTCTGCCGTTACTCAGAGCACTGAGATAAAAATGCCTGATTGACATGCTGCTTGCATCACCCCCTATCATCTAATGTTTGTTGTTTTCCTTCTGGCTGTCAAATATTTGCCTTGACCACTTGCTTCCCTGCTAGATGGCTACACATTTTACTCAGTCTCCCAGGAGCGGATCATGGATGAAATGGATGAAGAGGCCAAGCGTGCGAGAATGCGAGGACCAAAGACCGGTGCCAATTGACATGCATGTGTTGCCTCCTTGTTGTTGGACTGTGTGTCTGTCCGGCACTTACTGAGAAGGGACTTAATGTGGACACTGATGCAATGGATTTATAGTCCATAGCTGGCTGTGACAGCGCTGCACATTTTCATCTTGATTGTGAAGGGAAACTGTGTGGTTCTTCTGCTGACCGAAAACTAGATGTGTCTTGATTTTGATTTAGTCAGTGGAAAGGACTAATCCACTGACGTTACATGCTACCCAGAAGGCCCAGACTGTAGTGTAATTACAACCCTTACCTGACAAGTTTCCAGCCCCAATCATGTGATGTGCATCCAGTAGGAGGGGAATATCCTAAATTTCATTCAGCTAATATAATAAAACAATAAAATTAAATCTACAGTGGCCTTTAATAGAAAAGAATGCCAGTGACGCTGCTGAAATGACACACAGATTTACTTGTTGAAGCATATTTATGTTGATAAAGAGATGATTTGTAAAATAAAAATGTATTTGATTTTTTTTTTTTAACACAACTATGTCTCTTTGTAACTATCCATTCCCCGGATGAAGCATTAGTAAACATGACAAAGGAGCCGTGGTATTGAGAACTGCATTTATTTTTGTCAAAATTTGATATAGAGTTTCATCTATCCACCAAATCTTGAGTAAAAATATAAAATAAGACATTGTTGGGGAAAGGCACAGATTCAGCATGACAGGACAGCAGCAGCTTCAGAAAGCAATACAATTTTATATTTTTACAATAAACATTTTGAAAAGAAACTTTTTTTGAATATATTATGAACTTTGGAAAATCTTACAGTTGGAGTTCCACTGCCAGAACTTTCAGTGTGTGTTGTGAATATTTTATAAGGCAACAGCTACACATTCACAGCTTGGACTGATTTCTCTATATCCCACAAAGTACTAATTATTTTTAAATGTGGGAGGGTCGATCATCATTACTGTGATCCAATACGAAATATTATGATCAAACATAAACTACAGAATATGCTCTACCTCCCTTATGGAAAAATAACAGGAAACATATCAGCTCTTCCTCAAGTGAACACAGTTTTATCCACAAATGTGTTAAATGATTGAGAACTAAAGTAGAATTTACTAAAGTAGAATTTACTAAAGTGCACAAGGTGCTTGATCTATAGAACAAGCAGCAAATAAGATTTTTGCTTAAGCAAGAATTAAGGTTTAGTTTACTCATAACTTGTAAACATGATCTATAAATGCACTCCAATATATACACATGTACAATCAACTGGAAGGCCAGTAGTCTAAACCCTAGGTGGATGTTTCACAATAAATCAATACATGGAAATCATTTTTTAAATTTTAAACCAGCTATAGTATTTGTTGTAAGATGTTGTTTATGCTAAAGTCGTGTGTCCTTTTAAAACAATTTTCTTCCCATTTAATAATTCAAAAACCAGATTTTCTTTCTGCTGTAGCAAGTTACATGGCCGCATTTATAACTTCTTTGTGAAGCATTAACATCTTCATGCGTATGTGTTTATAAAAGTGATATCTCCGTATTGTACTGCTGTACAATGAAAAATGTCAGGACTGCAGTCAAACATATCCAGGCTTAGTCTAGAGAATGTAGGTCACCCTATCAGGTGTCAAAATCACTAAAGAAACCTAAGATAGATGTACCAGAACAAAATGTTTTCATAATACAATAATAAATCAAACTGTACAATGTGTCTAGAGTGCTCTCATCCGCCCCTGGAAGGCAATAATCTGAGTGTGTTCACTGTGCAGTCAGCAGGTGCTGAGACAGCATTAATAAACTACAGCAAATAAATTGCGAGATTATCATAAGTGTTGTCATTTCTGTATGACAACTGCCAGTGAAAGTGTCATAGCCTCGCTGTGGTTCACATTACTGTGCTCAGATTGATTAACGGCAGTGAATCAGACAAACAGGAAAACAGTAACGATCATCATTCTGGGTCAAAGTCATAGTTCAAGTGCCACTGTAGCTCAAAAGGCCACAACTCTGCAGCAGTTTGTTCTATCACTTGACTGCGTTAACGCTAAAAGCTAGCTCAGAGAAAATAAAACGACCTGTGATGTAACACTTTGCGGAGTACCGTCAGTTTCATAGTTTTGACAGATTATTTACAAGAGAGCAGAAATGAACTTGTCATTTTTAACATGAACCAGATTGGCAAGTATTCTGTGCTCCAGCTGCAACAGTTTCACCAGATCTGGTAAAGGGCTGGAAACAGGATGTTACAGGTCCTGTGAACATTCAGCTTAACTGATGACAGCTCATATATATGTTGAGGTAAATGACCACTGGCAGAGGGAAGCAGTTTGCTTATCGGTGTGCCAGTGAAAAGCGTTAATTAAAGCGATCCTCCTACAGGACAGGTTAGACCACTGCAGTCACACTTCAGATGAGGTAGTCCAGATATACAGCGTACTTGGCTGAGATTTTCTTACTATGAAAATGAGAAGGAAAAAAAAAAAAAAGTGAGAACAAAGCCATTTTTGTCAAGTTTAACAAGAAGAATAATTTAATATGAAGTTGGTTCACTCACCATTCTACTTATGTCAGTTACAAAGGTGACACCTTTGCTATGTTTATCCTGGGAGCCACTGCTGCTGCCTCCAAGGGAGTTTCTCCTAATGATACCTAGGAAAAAAACATGCATAATAAAACTCATTTAGAGATAAAAGTTGTCACATATTTACCGGGTAAGAACTAAAAATGTGTATATTCTTCCTTACCCGGCAGTGGCAACATGTCCAACCGCTGCAGGCTGTTCCTGCGGGACGAGGGGAAGCCACTCCCCTTTGACAGCCGGCGCTGTCGACTGGATAGCATAGCAGCAGGAGAGACGATGCCTGGAGGGGGAACCTTCCCCATCCTAACATACAGCTCCTCAATCTCTCTCTTCTGGGCAGCTTGCAGGGCCTGCACTTCTGCCAGATGTCTGATAAGAGACAAAAAGAAACAGTTGTAAGTGGTTAAAAGCTCCCTCTTGTTGCTTGGAAAGGGCTGTTGTAGTCCTTGAAAACCTTGAAGGCATGCGGATTTAAGGGAATTCAGAAACTTCAACTTCAAAAAGTTTGTGATGATGGATGGGTAGACCTTTTTTTTAGATTTACTTTTAATTCACTTGATTTCAAAATAATTAAATACAGCTTCATGATTACCTTACTGTTACTTAAGCTTTTTGTTCTCCCCTCAAGTAAAGTAGTACATAAAAGAACTTGAACAAGTAATGGTCAGGTAATCATGAAGATACGTGCGACTACTTAGATACCCACATACTATACTCAGCATAGTTAACCACTTTACATGAGGGTGTGCACAAAAAGAATAACTAATGTTTAAGTAAGTAATATGAATTGGTATTAGTTTTGTGCCGCTCTGTGGCTGATGCAGAGCAATATATTTTACAGATTCATTAATAGAGTATATCTCAGTCTGTTAACTCTCCATGATTATCTATACAGCCGTTGATTCTGTGATATGCAGGAATTATTTGAATAAAATATCAGGTTGTTCCTGATTGGTTCCTCACTTGTTCCTTAGTAACTACTCACAATTTTGTATACCATATTGTAGTGTGTTACCTCTATTTGATATAGTTTTAATTTGATTATTGTTGTGATTTTGACTATTTGTTGGACAAAACATGCTGTTTCAAGACATCAACTTGGGCTCTGGAAAATTGCGATATGCATTTTATCAATATGTGTTTAACATTTTACAGAAAAAAAGCCCTTCAAAATGAGTCAATAGGCCTCAGCTCTTTTTTTATGGGATCCAAATGTCACATTCTGATGAAAACCTTGTGATGGACATATGTATGATGGCTTCATGGTGTCTAATTTGCGACTGAAGTCTTGCGTCACCCTGAAACATTAAGTCCCAAAGTTAGATCACAAAAGTTAGTGAAAAGTCTTTGAATTTGATGTAAGTGTGAGAGCCCTGTTGAAAACTCTTACAATTCGTCCTTAACTTCAGTTTCCATATTCAACTTCATCTGGCTGATTACTTCAAAACGACTATTTTGTCCTCTTTTTCAATTTCAAAAGCTGATATCGTCTTTATAGCACATATTTGCTGTATTTTGGGCATCTTCAGTGGTGTCACTTACTTCTCTCTGAGCTCCTGAAGTTCTACCAGCATGTCTTCGTCGTCACTGTCTGAGTCATCGCTGCTTAGGTAGGGAGTGTTGCGGTTGTAAGTCATCATCCATAAATGGTGAAGGGCATTGCTGTACTGCGGGCTGCCTGAAGCTCCATCCCACAGCCGCCCCTCCATCTCAGCAGCCGTCACTGAGAGTCCGCTGTCAGCAGACGTTCCCATCAGGCTAAGGCTGTACGCTCGCCTCCGACTCCTCTTCCTCGTTCTCTGTCGTTCCCCAACAACCTCTTCCTCCCCCTCTTCATCTTCCTCATCCTCTTCTTCTTCTTCTTCTTCTTCTTCTCTGTCCTGCTGCTGCTCCTGGCTCACATCCCACCCCACCTGCCCGTCAACCTCCTGGAGGACACCCGTCGACGCTCTGTGGGGATGTGGGTGAGGAGGGGACATGGTGAGTGAGGTGCCCAGGCTCGTCTCAGACTCCCCCTGTTCCTCTGTGCTGCTCTGTGACGGGGTGCTGCTGCTGTCTGCTGGCAAAGGTGCAGCTTGTACAGCATCTACTTGCACAGCAGGCATAGGGATGTCCATGCTGGGTGTCACCTGGAATCGACCAACAGTGACAGGGGCAGACTGGACTTCTGTAATATAGAGGAAGAGGAGGTATTTAGTGCTCTACACAAAGCCTGCAGGCTTTTTTGAAAACATTTTTACCTTGACAACTCGTAATTGTACCTTAATAAGCATCTAAATGTCTATTAGTACTCTCTCTGCTTACTTATAGTGTCTATGAATAAGAAGTTGTAACATCTGGAGGATGTCCTATTTATATGAATGACAGCCAGTCAATGGCTAAACAGTAGTTATTGTTACTGTAAGCTGATCAGAGCTTATCATTAGAACAAAGCCTCTCTCTTTCCTGACTGTCAGGCTTTGATTAAATTTTAATCATGTGTTTCTTGGCAACAGTCTTGAAAGGAGTCCCACTCTGTTTTCAGCATAGGAGGATATCCTCTATAGTAATGATTCCGCAGTGACCACGGGGTATGAGGATAAATTGTGAACCTCAGCTAATTTGAAAACAAATTTAAAAAAAAACAAAAACAAACAGAAGTAATGATTATATATATATTGCCAACTATGGAAGTCTGCACATGCCTCAGTTTTCCACAAATCTGAGTCAATCGTAAGTTGATAAATATGAAAAATTTGTTAGAAGAAAGCCAACAAAAAGCCAAAAGTAAAAATACTGTAAATGGTTGAAACAACCAGTTTCTGTCACTCATAATGCCAGTAGTACAAATGCAAACTTGGGCAAAACTACAAAAAAATACCATTGAACAACAACATAAAGCCATCCCATCTATCAAAGGGGTGTGATAACGGGGTACTTAGGCCTATCTGATAGTGTTGTGGGGGTACACTGGACAAAAAGCTAACACTGCTCTATAGAGCCATAATTTATGGCAGTGATAATAATCTGTAATTGTGATTGAGTCATTTACTGGTGTGTCAAACATGTAATGCAAACCATTCCAGTCACCGCATGCACTCACATCTGGAGAACATTTAAGGGTTTAAAATCCTGCAGTGCCTCATTTCGCCCACTGAGTGTCCTAACAGTAAACACAGAAAGCGTCTGGTTCTGAGCCCACTGAAACAGAGGGACTCTGTTCAATGTGGGCTTCTGAGGAGGGTATAAATACTGACAGGTGTGGATATGGGAGGAGAGGCCTCTAATGAATGTGGCTGCTCGCCGATTGGTCACTGCCAGTGGGCAGGGCCGTAATCACACCTACGTTTGTGTTTGTTTTGAATGGAACATTACGTCCAGACTCGTAGTTACGTAACGGCTCCTGAGGCACCGCTAATAGGTGATAATGTCACCAAGGATACAGAGGAGAGAAAAAGAGGGAAAACTGAAAACAACTCTAAAGGCAAATTAGCTGTAACAGAGACACAAGACTGTATTTAGACCTAATACATCATAAATAGAGCAGAGGAACTTTATATATATATATATATATATATATATATATATATATATATATATATATATATATATATATATATATATATATATATATATATATATATATATATTTGGCTCTGGGTGCATTTGTGTATAATATACACAAGCATGTGTGGGGGTTTGTTTGGGGTTCAAACATAAACATCATACAGCATGTCATTTTCCAGCTCTGCCAGCCACTGGCAGCAACATTAGGTGTTTATGATCCAGAGGCGGAGGAGAAACTGTTTCAGGAATATGAGAACATGCACAGAATTTCTTACCAGATTCAGTGGAAGAGGCTTTTTGTTTTGGGCTACTGGCATTCATCTCAGGTACAGTGGGGTGCAATTGAGTGCTGAAGGATGATAACTAGACAGAAAGAATAAACATTGTTAGTATTAGTGCTGCAGCCCATTGGGTATTGGCCAGACAAAACAACTCCACAAAAAATAGTTTCTTTATCAGTGTTTTTTTTTTTATTCTGTGTTTCAGATATCAGTAATGGTAGACACAGAAATCCTTAATGCTCACTTAGATAAAATGATCCAAATGAGTTCCACACATTGCAGTGCACAGATTTAAATGAAATATAGATCTAGATTGGGATGAAAGACAGAGCACTTTTGGATTTGTATTGGATTAATAATCTGAGTGGAGGCATTGGAATAGAAAAAGTTGGATCCCATCCCTGTTTCCCAGAGCCTAAGTTGGTGTTTTCATATGTTTTGTTTTAACAACAGTCCAAAATTCAAAAATATTCAATTTACAATCATGTAAAATAAAGAAATGGGGCAAATCCTCTGGGACTTTACTGGGACCAATAAATGTTTTGCCATTGGCCTAAAAAATGACTTGAATTATTAATCAATTATCAAATATATTGGAAAAAATTACTAAGGGTGACTCACAGTGCTTTCTGGGCTCTCTGGGGGTGATGGGGAAAGATCTGACAAGGAGTTTGAACTGGAGACTTCTGATCTGGGTTCAGCCTGGGCTGAAACCTGTGCTGAGTATGGGGGCACATAACCGTAGAAACTGTCCTCCTGGGTCAGGCTGGGGGGACTGGAGAGTCCAACCGGCTGCAAAGTCTCCCGAGGAACAGGTGGAGGAGTGGAAGGCATGGAAGGTGGAGAGACAGGATGCAGCCAGCCTGGATGATGGCTCTGGGGAAAACCATTCATCTGTGGTGTATTCTCATGGCTGTGGTAAATGTTGTTATGTGCTGGGATGCCCGCTGTGGGGTAAGGGACCTCTACTGGTGAGGTCTGGTAATGTTGTGGGTAGAGGGAGGGGTAACCTGACTGTGGGGCCATGTGAGTGGGTAGCTGGGGGTGAAAGCCTGGAAAGGAGTGCATCCCCTGGGTGGGCATGTTCGCAGGAGGGATGAAAGACTGAGCCATACTCATGGCCATGGAGATGACATTAGCTAAGGAAAATAAGGGCTGTGTGTGGGGGGGCCACATGTTGGGATGATGAGGGCCAGGTGGGGACATGTTGACACTGTCATTGCTCCCAGGGCTTGGGGTCTCATTCAAAGGACTCGGTGAACCGGGGGTTGGGGAGGGAACAGAAGGGAAGGTGGGGTTACTGGCTACACGTGTGAGGGGAGAATGGATGGCTGGCTTTGGGGAACCTGGAGAGCCTTGGTAGGGGAATGGGAAGTGGCCGTGGCCCATGAAGGGCATGTGGTAGTGCTGATGGTGTGGCAGGAGAGACGCAGGATGATGGTGGTGCTGATAATGGAGGGGAGATCCTGGAAGGCAAAGATTAAAAACGTAATTTATCTTGAACATAAACCGTGTAAGGAAAAACAAGTACAAAAAGTAAAACGTTTGTTAATGTCTTCATTTGACGCATAATGGGTGTGATTTTAAATGAGAACCCCCCCCGACACACACACACACACACAGACACACACACACACACACAGCAGTGGAATATTGGACAGAGTTGATCCAGAGAGACGAGTTAGATCACTCATTGTTCCTCTCTCCTCAGGGTTTCGTCAGTTTAATTCTTCCTTCAGCCCCCTGCCAAGACATACGCCATGTGGAGCATAAATCTTTCCCGGTTTCCATGGTGAACAAAGATGTTTTGTTTAAAGCAGTATCCAACTAAATTTCATTCCTAAGCCGGAGCACTTGTCCACCAAGCTTACATGGATGTGAGGGATTCAGCATCAATGGAGCGAGTGAGGATTGACATGACATTTTTCGAGGAATTTAAATGGAACACACGTGTGCGTACACAACATTTTGGGTCTGATTGTGAGATTAAAGCAGTCAGGATTTCTACACCACTCTTTGGGGAATAGTTTAGGATGCCAATATCCAAGCCACATCCATTCATTTAACATTTACCTCAACAATGGCTCCACAGTTATAAACCACGCCTCCTGTTGCTGGTGATGCAAACCACCCTTCTACTTTTTCCATGCTGACGGAAACATAGGTTAGGCAACACTCTATAACGGTGGCAGGTGGCCAAGAAGCATTGCGAAAGAGGGGACACAGGACAAGAGGGGATGAGGATGTTCAGATGGCTGCTGAGGCTGAAACAGGGGACATTTGAATAATATGTATTCTTTAATTGACTGCAAATGCCCCTCCTGTCTAGAAGGAGACTTTGACATGGGGAGGAGCCTTTCTCGGAAATTCTGTAGGAGCTTGTGCTGGTAAACAGATGTTGCCGACTATCACAGAACTGGAGAAAGCTCATGCTTTACAGCAACAGCATTCACGTCTCCCTAAAAGCCAAAAAGCGCCCTTCAGGTGAGGTAATTACCCAAGAGGCCCTGCCGCAAGGCAGACACAGACGAAGGCTTTGAGGTGTAGGGATGGCGGATGGCGCCATGCGAATGTCTGAACAATACCAAGAACGGGCCCCGTGAAGGGGAGGGGAGGGTTTATGAGGTAGCTGAGCTTTGCTTTGACTTATTCTTTGCCAAAGGACTGTAACAATTCTTCAGTGTGCTGAAACAGTAAACAATGCTAGGCCTCTTCACGTAGGGACCAGAGGGCTATTTACCTGGGGCGTTGTGGAAAGACTGTGAGCGTATAAGAGGTCGCCCAGTTGAAGTAATGTCTGCACTGAAGACATCTCCATTGGGGCATGGAGGAGAGCCGCGTAAACCAACGCTTGGGTTAGCCACACTGAAGTCTGAGACAAGACATGCACACATGTCAGCACACACACACACACACACACACACACACACACACAGATTACGTACAGTTAAAAAGATGCAACAAGCAAGTTAATCTGACATGGGGTGAGATCACAGACACTTAATGATACTTGGAGAGTTTCAGACTTTCATGAAATGATTAAACAAAGGTAGGGGGCAAAGTCCTAAAACATTAATTCCCTTCATTCAAACCATGTTTAATCTCCTCGAGCATCAAATTATCCGGTTTCCTCTTAATAGGTGAATTAAGTTAATCAAACGTGAGACTTACCAGGCAGAGAAGAGGAGGAGTTGGTTCGAGGCAGGGTGTGACTGTGCAGATTAGGCTGTAAGAGAGCACATTTCATAAAACTCAATCTCCACTTCTATTCAGTATTGATGATAATGTGTTTTTAAATTGAACGGGGACTTCCTAACTATGGTATGACTCAGCTTCAGTACAAAACTACTTTGCAGGTTTGATCGCCACCACTAATAGGTGGAATAGAAGTGTCTCCAAAAGATAACTCCATATTTCAATTCAATAAAATTGGGGGACTTCTGAGACACAGATGCAAAAAACAGAACGGATAAGCAGTTATCATAAAGTTTGGTCACCAATATAGGTCAGGCTCAGAAAACAACAGATCCTATACTTCACATAATGCAACTCACTAGCAAGCAACTTATTAGTGTCTTTTTTTTTTTTAGACCCTTCCTGCAATGTCTGCGATTTTCACCTCCCAGTTGATGTCTGATGTCTGTCATTTTGTCAGACTTGTCAAAGCTTCTCCAAAACAACAAAAGACGTTATATAAGTGTTTTCACAGCATGTGTAGTAAATCCTCATAAACTGACTTTGGCATTTGAAAGCATTGATTAGGGCCCTTCCATGGGTTTTACAAGTCAAAGGCACTTTATAACCCTTGGATACTTCCAATGATGTAGGTGACTCTGAGTCCTGACCTCAAGTAGACGATAATGTATTGCTTGTCAGTGTGGAACAGCATGTGTTAAGTGGACAATAAAGTAAATACTAAGATGGCTGTAAAATATTTATTGTTAAGTTGTGAAGAGCTGTTTCCATAATAAATCCCATGTTATTAACCAGTTAATGTAACTATTATTACGTCATTGTGCAATTTATGGAAAGTCTTTTAACCTCTATAATCTGGATAACTGGTGTGTGTATCCTAGCATGACACACTACGTCGTCACATGTTGTCAGGCTACGCAAAGCACATTCGTAAAAAAATATGGCTCCATCTGCAAAAAAAACGAAGTGAAGAAACTGAAAATTGTTCTCTGCCACAAGGATGGCAATGTCTGTGGTGCAGACGGGAATATCCCAACAAAATTGCCATTAAACTTTGTACTGATGTTCATGATCCCTTGAGGATGAATCCTAACGACTTTGATGATCCCCTTATTTTCCCCTCCAGCGCCACCAGCAGGTCAAAGTTTTAAATTATCCTGTGAAATATCTCAACATCTTCTACATGGATTGGCACAGCTGTTGTTTATGTTTAGTGCTAAATAGCAAATATTAACATGCTAACATGCTTAATTAAAATGGTGAAAATGGTAAACAGTATACGTGCTTTACATCAGTATGTTAGCATGCATGTTTAGCTCAGCGGCTACCATGGCTGCATCCACTATTATTCTTGTTCTTCATGTGGTGGATAAAGTACACTAGCAACAGCCAGACAAGCATGGCTTTCCAGGGATTAAAGCTTCATTTATACAGCGTCTCTTCCCAAAACTCTCAGAATAGCGCGCTACCTCAGAGCTACACCCAGAACAGAGATAAATACATTACATTATACAGTCTCTGGGCTTGTGGGTTTCTTTACTAGCTTGGTCTGGTTTGTTGGCTGGACGGTGGTGGGAGGAGCAGCCATAATGGTTTTTGAGGGATGTGGACAATGCTGTGTTTTTAAATCAGGTGCTGGAGTGGAGCCAGGATAGATTTGTCCAGAGTGATTTATCGTAATTGTGTAACCAGGGGGTTGGAAAAATGGTGAACAAGGTAGATAGTTAGCGGTGGACATTTACTGCTCTTATTTGTCTCTTGTTCTACATTAAACTGCACATTATTATTTTCTCCATCTCCATTTATGAACATCTTAGATCATTTTTTGTTTTGTGTGTTCTACAAAGTGGAACATACCCTGGCGGAACATACCCTAATAAGCAGACAAACTGTACCTGATTAGGCAATATGTTCTACAGGGGCGGCACTGCTCCTAACTCTATCCTTAATAAATCCTAACATTCAATGTGGGCAGATATACTGGAAAGTTCATTATGGTGTAAGCACTGGAAAGGATTTGTTGTTGTGGGAACTAATAAATGTGAAAACAGGAGGCATGGGGTAGGTTTCTACCAATCACAGGGTTTTATGACATTAGAGTTCTTTTAAATGAAAGCACAAATGAAAGGTGGCTTTAGGAACACTTAACCTGGTATGTCAAAGGGCAAGTCTCAGGGGGAATGGTGGACAGTGAGACACTGCTGTTTGTTTTTTTTTATTTCATGTGTAGGAAGCTACTCTATACCTTTCTATGTGCCCCAGATTTATGGGCCTGGTTAGACAAGCACAGCTAAACACACTATAGCTGATGTAATTTATGATGATCAGACAGTACAGTAAAAAAAAAACAAAAAAAAAAAACTTCCCACGCTGAGTTACTGTTACTTCCTTTGTTCTCAGCTAACAATACTGGGATGTGGATTACTGGAAAGGAACAGCTGCTGACCTGTGAGGAGGACAACGAGTTAACCCCAGTGTGAAAAGCAGGCTGGGGAAGTCGGTGCCCACTGGAGTGGACCGGCTGCTCTTTGGCCATCAGAGACTCAGCCCGTTTGATGATGTCACCCATTCGATGGATGAAGCCCTCCTTCTCTGATGGCAGGATGAACTCCTTGTGCACCTTGAAGACAAAAGGACAACGGTGGAAGAAGTATTCAGATGCTTTACTTAAGTAAAAGTATCACAATGTGAAAATAGGCTGTTACGTGTTAAGATCCTACATGAAAAAAAGTATAAATACACAGGTATTATCAGCAATATGTACTTAAAGTATCAAAAATAAAAGTACTTGTCATGCAGAAAAACAGCGCCTGTGAGTTGTTATCTAATTATGTAGTATATTATTGGATTGGTAATACAAATGCATTAATGCAGCTTTTTACTGTTTTAGTTGTTCATGGTGACACTAAATTGATTTACTTTATATAAAGTTGGGGACTTCAATCTACAAAAATGCATCATATTTCATATTGTTTCCAGATAAAATCTTTATCTACAGCTGTCAAATAAACAAAGTGGAGTACAAAAAAACCCAATATTTCACACCAAAATGTAGATGTGTATTAGCAGAAAATGTAAAGTAAAAGTACCTTAAAACTTTACTTAAGCATAGGCTTTTATTAAAAGTACATTTCACCACTGCAAAGGAATAGATAAGGAGGAATACATGCTTCTAAGATTACTAGATGTCTATCTGAGGCACCATCTTTGAAATCTACCCACCTACCCTCAGCTAATGATTATTCTTGGGAAAAAATACATAAATCATCTTGTGTAAATCCACAATACATTGGTTTGTTAGAGGAGGTTGTCAGTTTTGCATATCCATGCAGTTTTGAGCGTTGCTGTGAATTGTGGGTTGGGGTGTGGTGACCCTTTCCAGTCAGCATGGCATAATTCAGCTCATTTAAAACCCTGCACTGAGAACCACTGAGGCTGTTGAGATGCCAAGCACCCCTGCTGTGCCAAGACTCAGTAAACAAAAGCCCAGTATGTTTTAAGAGCTGCCTCATCACACCTTCCTCACACAGGCTTGTGTACGTACACCACCTCTCTATGCTCCAGCCTCTAATAAAGCTAAAAGACAATTACAGGGGGATGGGGCTGCTTACTTGCGTCACTAACTTCACAGAAAGTTAGATATACTATCAGCCAGAGTTAGGATTGACAAACAAAAGGCTGTTCACTGGAAGCAGGATGAATCATGTGTATGTCTAGCAGAGATAGAGGAATATGTCAAGCTTATCAGCCGACAGTGACAGTTCTAGGAGATTCAGTATCTAATGAAGACTTATTTTTTCATCCTCTCCTGCCTAGGTGGATTTAAGGTTGATATTATTCAACACTGTCTGACAGTTTCATATATTCTGTTTCAGCTTGTTCCTCGCACTGAGTGACTCCATGTTTTTTATGGCTGCGCTATTCCATCAAATGGAAATTTTATAGATGTCTTGTGCATAATTTTATGCTTATTTCCATAAAAGAATATTTGGAAATCTCCCCTAGAGCTTTGTATTAAGGTAAGTTTGGCTGCACAAGATGCGTTTGTAATGACGAAACCACCGGTGTGTCCGCAGTTAAATGACTGCCATGCAAATTTCAAAAGTAAACCAAAGATCTTATTCCATCTCATTAATGTAACATATGAAAAAAGATATAACACATTATTGCTCTTACAAACTGAAAGTTAAACTCATTAACAATCAAACTACCATTGCTTAATTCAATATACTCAAGGTTTTTCTGCTGCTACAGCCTTACTTGGTCTGGTATAAACCAGTAGCTTTTGGTGGCTAACGTTAGCAAAATTTCTGTATAAGGGATATTTCTGAGACAGTTCACTGACTTCATGGCTTTTCTCTACTTGTTCTACTGTTACACTTAGTTTTAGTATTGACCTTTAGCTGTTACTCATCACTTGTGACCAATGTGTGTTCTGTCTAGCAAAGGTCACAAAGGTTTATTTTAAATCAAGAGTTCAAACCTTTGCCACCTCAACATCATCAATATCTTAGGATATAGATTAAGGACTCTATCCAAAAAAAGGATATTCCAGATCAGAATAAACACTAAAATCTAATCAATTTTTATTTAATCCAAAGCCAAATTTCACAAAAAAACAATATCATTCACAGCTAAAGTAACTAACTGGAAACAAAAGAAACATCTATTTTGGAACCTCGTTTTATTTTCGCTCTTCTGAATATGGTGCCTGTTGATCATTACTTGGCCAGTGATGACTCACCATGACAGCAGCGATGTCTTCAGGGTTATCTCCATCCAGGTCAAACTTGAAGGTCACCATCTTGTCATTGTGTGTCTGCAGCTGACACTCAACCACACGGTCCACTTTATCAGAGAGCTGCAGAGATGGGACAGGATCAATGGTAATGTCATGTGTCTGTTTACCCTCTACAGCACTGAGCAAAGTTAAACACAGGAGGAACAATATGTTTTGTGTGTGTGTTTGTGTGAGCAAACATGTGAACATGTGTGTGAGTCCACTGTAAAATGCAGTGTATATTGTGCTATGCACTTTTTGCACAACCGTATGCATATGTGGTCATGCATGATTTGTTTGTCTCTGCCACCAGTCTAAACACACTCATTAAAAGACCACAGAGTGTCCTGATCAAACAGAAATTTACTGCAGTTGCCAGGGGGAAAACAGCATAGCTACTGATAACCTTGCATAACAAGGGTGGGGCTTCACCGCTCCCTCATAAATAAAATGAATCCACTAATTCAATCATTCAATCCAGCTGGTTGATTTATCTGTTTATGACGTGCTTAAACATATTTGCAGTGTTGTAATTAAACAAAACGTTTGATTTATTGTACCCCTGTGATGCGGAGCCTTGAGCGCGCCCTCCTCCTGAACAGCTTCGCAGCAGTTCGCCTCGCGGCAGTTTTCTCACTCTTCTCTGATAGGCCCTCGTAGCCGTCACTCAAGCCTGAAGTCACATCGGAGGCGTAGCTGCAAATAAATAAATTAGACGTGCTTCTCGTTAGAAAATACGCCCCCCAAATAGCCACGGAAACATTCCTCATGCAATAATGTAATTCAAAGAACATCTATCATCTACAACGTAGATTATCTTGGCATCACACACAATAATAAACAGCACTCTGAATTGTCAAATAAAGTCTTGATGTATTACAGTGGCATGTCTCTTGGGTGTAAACAGCAGAGTTAAATAATACAGTTTAACAAAGCTCATCCAAGTGTTCATCCTGAGGAAGCAACATGTCCATGTGATGTGTTGTATTTATACAAAGAATGAGTTTTAAGTTTCAGAGAACATTGAGCCTGTTTTATAAAAAGCTTTGGTTCAGCTAATTGTGTCTCCTGGGTCTTTTTTTGGATTACTGCGGTCACAGACTCCCCTCCATCCACAGGCTGCAAACATTTACAGGCCTACTGGTTGGCAGCTTCCGCCTGTCTCTATTTAAAAACATCTACCTTACGGGTAACTTCAGTTCAAAGTAAAGCTTGTTTTCACATATAAACACAGAGAATGCGGAAATTAGACTAGATAAGATTAAACATCGGTTTTGATTTTGCAAATTGTTCTTCTGTTTTGAGCTTAAATGCAGCTCTGCTCATCACTAAGCCAAGTTTTTTTTCAGAAGAGGAATTAAACAACTGGGAGCATGTTTTGGATCCTAAATAGTGCATGTCTAAGATGTTATGAGATACGATACTCGGCTAGACTTGACATTGGTTTCAATCCACTATGAAAGTCAGATACGGAAGAAAAACTAAGCTGGCTGTTAAAGAGCTTTTGACATTCACTGTGTTTGTTCTATAGTACCAACCAAATCCTACACTGAGAGACAACATATTGTGAACTAAATACAGGAATTAACTGTATTTAATCACATAAATTAATTTTAAAAAATGATTGACAATGGATTAATTGTTTAAGTTACTGCTTTTGTTTATTTTATATATTTGTAAACTGAATATCTTTGGGTTTTGGGCAGTTGGTTGGACAAAACTAGCAACGTAAAGATGTCATTTGGACCATAGATAATAATAATTATAATGTAGACAAAACAATTAAGTGATGAGTCAAATAAAATAACCAAGAGATTAATCAATTATGAAAACAATCGTTATTTGTAGCCTTACTCAGCATCTGATGTTGTGCATGGCAACAAAATCATTATGAAATAATTATAGTCTCTGAAGAGAAGATGGAGCCCAGATGGCAAACCCTCCAACACACGCACACACACACTCAATTGTCCATTGTCGGCTCTCATGCCAAGAATAAAGGCACTCTCTCCTTAACATCCCACCAACATGGAAAACAAGGCCTCCATAACATCTGAGAGCCATTCACACAGAAACCTGCAAGGGTCCATTCTGCCTCACTCCAATAAAAACACAGAAGAGCCTGTCGATTGCCTCAAGCTTGTTGTCACAGCCCCATAGATGTGGAGGAGGAGGAGTTATAGAGGGAAGATCAGACATTTCTACTAGAGTCACATTGATTTTCAGGTCTACAACTTTAAGAAGGGACTACTGAACTCCATTGTCTCTTGGATGTCAAAAAAAGAAGGCTGAAGGACATTACCTGTCCACAGGGGAGTTGAAGCCACTCGGGATCCCTGAGTTGCCATGTTCTATGTTGCTGGAGACCGCAATACTCTGTAGAAATGAGAGTTGTGGTAAGGTAAACCTGGATAAAGACTTCCATTCATTTCTTTTTCCTTTGAAGCTTTAGTACAAGATAGTAGCCAAGAAACATTTTCCACATGATGAAGTTTTTGATTTACTTCAAACAAGTTACATTAAATCTTAATTTGGCATTCCTTATGTGGTATTTATACATAAAGTTCCTCAATTTGGCACTTTGCTTTGATAAAAATAATAGTGTCACAGTGTGTGATCACTGCTGATCTGTTGGTCCACCACTTGGGTCCAGACAAAATGGTGAAGTATTAATTAAACTATTGGAGGCATTGCCAAGAGGATGAATTGTAATAACTTTGGTAATCCTCTGACTTTTCATCTAGTGCCATAATCAGGTCAAAATGTCTGTTTTTACTTGGTTTTGGTGGAAATACCTGCAAAATTAATGGCATTCCCATCAGCCTCAGCTGCACTTCGCGTTTGGTGTTGCAAATGTTCCAAGATGGTGAACATGGTAAACAGTATTGCTGCTAAACATCAGCATGTTGGTATTATTGCATAGCTGTAGACTCTTTGCCTGGTTAAAACTCTACTTAACTAGAAATTTCATTATAAATATGTGCTGACTAGAAAAAAACACAAGATGGATAGAATTGCATTGCTTAAACTACTATATTACCTTACTGTGAAGTGTTACTTTCCAACTATATATTGTTTACATAACGCTCGGACAGCACTGTATTAGACTGAGGAAGGAGGTCTCGTAAAGTACTGAAATCCTTTATTGAGGCCACTCACTGAGGGGAAGCGGAGGGCTGGGATGGGGAAACCGTTTGTAGTCGGGGTGTCGGTCTGCGTGGTGGGAGGGGTCACAGGCGCATTGAAGCTGCTGGTCTCCAGCGGATCCTGAAGCCCAGAGGAGCTCATATAGCCATCCGTCTCGCAGTCAGCTGTTTCAACAAAGGACATAAGCCATTATCATGTGACCAACTGTGGCCTGACTAAATGACACAAACTATACTGTACACACTCATACTGTATGCACAGAAACACACACACCTAATGACCCCCAACTGAGACATGCCACACATACAAAAACATGAAAAGGGGTTTCACTGAGGATTAGCACCAGTTCTGCAGACGCACAGAAGATGCTGGATGTATTTAGACTGAAGATCGAACTGATTCACCAAGACCACACACCATGAGACTTCCAGGGACTGAATAATTTAGTTATCTACAGTTTCAAATTTCACTGTAAACCTCCCATGTGCTCTGAGATCTGAACAGCTTTCTGTTCAATACAATTGTAAATCTAATGCAACGAAAAAAATATTTGCCTCATATGACCCCATAATGATATTGCAAAAATCCAAGATTCACCACACTATAAATTTAAGGACTTGTGGTACTGCAAAGCCATTTGGATTAAGTCTTCAGGAACTACTGTATGGGAAAATCCTTGTTTACAGTTGTGATGAAGTTGAAGGTGATACTATCATTGGTGGCGCTATCATTTTCATATTATCTTATTCGTTTTAAATGTGTTTTATAAACCTAAGAAAGGTGCTAAGGATTTTTTACCTGAACTGAATATATGAAAACACCAGATATAGAGAAAGCCTACAAACTCTTTGTGGTATGCGATGTTATATTAGGAGGCTCACAGTTAGCAGAGGACAGGCTGTTGTGGCGGATGTGGAAGTGCTGGTCTGCCTCGGGCTCCTCTGGCTCTGCAGGGTAGTTGTAGCTGACGCCAGAGTCTGCAGAGCTAGTGACGGGGGACAGGATGGAGGCAGAAGGCGTCAGGGCGACAGTGGGGGACTCTGCTGCAACAGCGTCGCTGACTTTAGATAAAGGAGGCGGAGGCTCTGGTTCTTCTTCTATTGCTTCTTGCTCCTGCTTCTTCTTCTGCTCCTCTGCATGTCGCCTCAGTTTTTCTCTCTGCCGCTTGATGGCCGTCACCCTGTCCCGTATGGCCTTGGCCACGAGCTTGAAGTCAGCCTCACACACAAAGCCAAGCACAACCTGCATAACAACACACAGAAATGGTCAGGTCAGAGCACAACATGAACATATGTGAAGGTCTATACTTCACAGTCCAATGTTTGCTGCTACAATATGCAGACAATTTACGTAGGTCTGCTGCACTTAATGACTTGATGACGCAAGCTGTGAAATCAACAAGTCCACTAACAAAAGTGACAAAAGCTTCCATGCTAACAACATTTGTTTTGTAAAATCAGTGCACATTGACTGCATTCTTCTGTCACTTTGGAGTCTTGCACAGTCTCCCAACACCCAGTCCAGCTAGCTGGGACACTCAGTCCGAACCTGCCTCTCAACACATAGTCAGATTACAGCAGAGCGGCCGGACTAGGTGTCCCCTGCTGATACCAAATTTGATCTCGATGAAAACTACCACAAAGAGGTAAGCAAGTAAGGAATTGTGGCTTGCATTTTCATTAAAAGTGACCTCTACCGATGGGGTTCTAGAGGACATAAATACCTGTTTCGTAACAAGCAAGAGGGCCATTATATTATTAAAGATGTGACCTGTGGCTGCTTCCTGAGACACGCTCTCATGTTTCGAACCACTGATGATTAAATGTTGAGCCGTGCCCTTGACACACGCTGCAAGGCGTTCACTTTATGGCTGGAGCACATTTCAAAGCTTTTGCTGTCATAACACAACCGTAAAAGAAGTATAATGAAGCTGGGGTGCATTAGTGAGCCTGTTTTCACTGTTTGGGGTCAAGAGTCAAAATACAGATTACTGAAAAGTGACATTTCTCAGACTCTGTGATATGATGTTAGCTGAGCCTGTAACAGGGTCTCAGAATCTAATATCTGTACGTACATTTAAATTAAAATTCTATTCGAAAGTTACAAAATTATATCTGTCTTTTGATATGTAATTCAACTTCAAATATTATTGCTGAAGGAGGATAATGATTAGCTACAATAAGTCCACTTTAGGCTGTCATCTAAACACACTGCCTTTTCTTCTTTCTTTTGTGAGGAGAATTATGGTGTTTAATTGTGTTAAGAACAGTCACCAACTACATAGCCAGTCAGCTCTCCCCCCAGAAAACCTATAAAAAGCGATCATCATCAATCAAGATCAGGATGCAGAGAACATGTGGGGGTTGGCTGAAGCGGCCTCCATCTGTTGATCTGGGATCAATTACTCAATTTCCTCACTAATAGCTGCTACAAACTGGGCCAGTGAAGCAGTAAAGGTTGACCTCACAACAAACAATCTTTGTGTGCCGGCCTACCATCTCCTGAGACACCTCCTCAGGCACGTCTTTGTAGAGCTCAAAGAGGAACTCAATGGCGTTGTTGTCCTTGTATTTCCCATGGAGCTTCTTGGTGTCATCCATGCGCAGCCACAGCTTCAAACCCGACTTCACCATGTCGTCCTCCTCTGCCAGCTCCACGTGCACTCCATTGTTCTCCTGAAAGAAGGGGTGATCCAGGAGGTCCTGAATGGTGTACCTGCAGTATAAGAAGAAAATCAGTCATCTTTTGTTACACACGCAGGCAACTTAAAAGACCTTGTATTAATGTTGTTTTTCATAATTTGTATTAATTCATAACTAAATACACTTGGAGAAATGCTTTTGCATCTCGCAGCAGGTTCTGATAAAGCTTATAAACAGTGCAACTGGGTAACTGTTTAAGCCTTCAAAAATTATGTCCTTTTGAAAAAAAACCTTTGCGTGCACCAACGAACAAAAAGGGTTGCAAAACATGCTCCATCAAGTTACCTTGATGTTTTTGTGACTATTTGTTGAACATGTACAGTAAAAGACATTTCTACCAACAATGTCAGCTACCCGGTATTGAAAATAAAATATATTATTGTTTTTGAAGGCCAGTACTATCATCTGTTTGGATTGTGTTTATTCTCAGTGAGAAGCTGCAGACAATCCAAGGTTTCTCAAAACTGAAGCTGCAGGTGAGTTTGTATTGTGTGCTACAAATCTTAATACAGTTTAGCTTGAAAGATAGAACCGTTAAAGAGTCGTTTTATCACTTTTATCACTTTCCTAAATGGTTAATAATATTCTGTTATGGAATCTGATTAGATTATTTTTAAATGTTTGTGCTGTAATATGTAATATATGTAAATGATTTCACTTTTACCTTTCATCTTTGTTCATACGAATGCAGCCCTCAATGATCTCCTTGAGCTCTGGGACTTTGACTTTGTAGAAGCTATCTGGCTTAATTCCCTGTGAAAACAGAAGAGATTTACTTTAGCTGAAGGGCTTCATACTTTCTTAATACCAGAGGGGTGGCTTTTAGTAGAATAAGTGATCAGCAACAATGATCGCCTCCATTTACATTTATCCCACAGTTATCCTGTCAGAGGATCAAGTCAAACCCGAGATGCTCTTCTTTCTTTCACTTAAATTTTAAACTCCTGCGCAGAGTTTATCTCAAGACAGAAAAAAAATCTCACTTGTATGAGTAAAGGGAGGTTTTCTATATCCCTTCTATCATGAGAATGTACATAGATTACTGCAGAGCTCCCACTCCCGTAAAAACACTGATAAGAAAGCAAAGAGTCGAGGTCAGAAAGATGTTTGGCCTACAGATACCCAAGCAACCAGCTGATGTGAGGTCAAAACACCCAACCAATTACATTTGCCAGAAAGAAAGGCTGAGTGATGCACTCTGTAATCACATTTAAAGACTGATATGTCACACAGTAACTACTGTATTTGCTGTTATTACCATAAATACATTTCTCTAGATATTTCCGCTTCCTGTTAAAGTGAGACAAAGGACAAAGCTGCGAGACATTATTATTTTCTAAAGTGTGTTTGTTGTGACTTTTGTTATTGTCTTTAGAGAATGCATAGGGATGTGTTATCTAATAATCTCATGCAAACTCACTGAATAACTATATATTTCTGAATGCAAACACAAATTGGGAAACCCAAAAAAAGCTTCAGCGCAATCTTTGAGGCGCTGTTATCGTATATGCAAAATGTGACAGAGGATCTGAAGCAGAACACAGAGGTTTCTTCAGTGTCCTCACAGGCAGCTTCAGTGTACATCAGTTTTCCCTCATTCAAAATCTAATTTGTGACGATCCTGTCCTGTGGTGACAGAGGTCTATAGATAAGATCTTGAGAAATACGCTGTCGTCATATTGACTTTGCTAAGTTCATGATCCCACAACAATTATTCTGCACTAATATAAAATTGAAGCACGGTGATGTCTTACAAGAAAAATGTGGTATTTCAGTCCATTGAGGGAAATACACTAAATGTCCAACAGTATGTGGACCTGTGCAGATATACTTATGGTCTTTTGTCTGTTTTTCAAGGTTTGTTTCAAATGAGGGAATTTGAGAAAACAGTGCATCTCCAACTTTGTGGCAACAGCTTGTTTAACGTGATTTCCTGTTTTAACAGGAAATAATATGTCCCTATGCTCAGTGATTCACAAAGTATTGGTCTTAAAGCAAAAATGGTTCCAGCTTCTCAAATGTCAGTATTTGCTGACATGATACTAAACTGAAAATATTTGGGTTTTGGATTGTTAGTTATTTGAATATTGAATTGAGATTTGAATATGCAAATGTTTGCTCTTGTGACATGTGATGGCCATTTTTCAATATGTACGTATCGATTAATAGGGAAAATAATCAGCAGATTAATCAATATCAATCAAAATCTTTTGGAAAGCCTTCTCACAAGAGTGGAGGCTGCTATTAGCAGGAGATTAACACCAATGGTTTTGGAATGAGAAGACAAACAATCATATTTGGATGTAATGTTTGGGTGTCCACATACTTTTGGCCATGTAGTGTATTGAAGGCATTTTTCCATAGTAAAAAGGAATTTATTTACTCAAACAAGAACAATACATGTTCTGAACAAGGCCAAAGAAAAGTCTTCAGACAGTTGTGACCACCCACATCCAAGACCCATTTGTAGGCTATATGTTCTGCCTTTCATATTTCAAGCTATATTTCTTTCTGTAGGCACCTTAAATAGTAAATTACTTCTAGTACAAGTCAGTCATATATGTGTTAAGTTACATAAAGTTTATAGGTTAGTGTTTAATGTTCTGAAAAAATTAACTGCCATACCAATAAATTGACAAATGTCCAGATGTCGTCTGCACTGCACATAAATGTAAAACATAAACAAATAATGAAGGGCATAGCTAATATGATTTTAATTAAATCTTGTTGCACGGGTAAGGTTCTCTAACTGCACATGGAACATTATTATGTTGTCCTGTTTGTGGAGGAGCCAGACCCACTCTAACTTGTTGGCATTGTCGCTTTCTCACTTTCCAGCCTCCGTCAGACACTGTTTGCTTTGCATATGTGACACGCAAGAAAGAAACAGCCTTCTTTGTGGAGTAATGGGTGAGACAGAATTTCCAAAACATATAATTCTACCACCTTCTGCTCTTGCCCACCGTGGCGTCATCGGGAACAGCTTGAAATACGGTAGTCTAAAACCACTGGTGTAATGCTACGGTCTTAAAACTCACTACACTGCTTCTGGTCTTTTTTTCTCCCAGATATTTTCTGTATGAAACTTTATGATGTGATCTAAATGTAACATTAGTTAATGTCCTGGGCACTGGGCTGGGACTCCAGCTCTCTTCATCATTAGACAGATGTCTTCCAATGCAAGAAAAATATCACATTTTCTAATACATCTTTGCTTTCTTAAAATAGTTGTTTTCTGCAATGCATAAAAAGCAGTTCAGACAGAAAGTTTGCAAATGTCAGTGTTGATGGTTCATATAAGTTCTCCATTCAAACACTATTTGATGGACATGGGAATATTACAATTAACAAAATAGCTAGAACTAGGTAGACAGGATCTTTGAATTGGTAAATACTGTACACTGGCAATCAGTGAGTCAAGCATCTGCGTCATGATTGCGGGCTGAGAACAGAAAAGCGGTCAGGTTATGATACGGTTCTACACTCTGAGCTTGTAATGGACAAAACTGAGCCTTTAATAGACAAAATGCAGCTTTCATTCCATGTGGGGCCCACTTTTTCCAAGGACTCAGGAAATCCAGACATATACACAAAATGTCCTGGTTCCTCTTGACTGAATTCCAGTTTGCACATGGGAGAAAGCGAACACATGTGAACAGTTACGTTAAATATGGGTTAAAAAACGAGGTGGCCCTCCTCCTTCCCTTACTCACACTGGTGACTTTGCGGTAGATCTGGGCAGCATTTTGGCACTCAGAGTACGGGTACTCAGAGGTGGCCATCTCCAGGATGCACATTCCAAAGGCGTAGACATCCACCGCTTCATCGTACTTCTCCTCGTACATCTCTGGGGCCATGAACTCTGGAGTTCCTGTCAGGTTTCAGAGGGTAGAAGTAGACAGTTGTTCTATTATTAATACTGAATCAGTGAAGGTCAATCAACAGTCCAGTTTCAACACAGTTTGCATCAAGTCTTACTATATATACAAAGTTAACCTGTTACCAATCATAAGATGCTAACACTGTAAAAAAAATATCTGACTCTTAAAAGGCTGAAATGCTCCTCTATGTTCACCAGCTAGTTGCCAACTTTATCTGTATTATGGATAGTATTTATCAGGTAGTATACATTGAGTTAACATTGAGTTAAGTAGAGCTTTTTCAGTGAAAATAGCTGATAAATAGCTAATTTCTGTTTTAATTTTACTAAACAAAATCAATCATCAAATGCACCATTCCCCAAAAGAAGGGCAATAATCAAACAATTTTTCATATGGATCTGGTGAATTAAACTCTACAAAAAATCAAGTTCCCACTGAAATTAAAAGCCTTTAGCCCATTTCCAGAGTTTATAGATGTAAGCAAAATGGTGTTATAGATGTAATTTCAGTGAGTGTAAATTATCTTACCAATGACACTTTTAGCAAAAGAGGCACTTTTGAGAGTGGCCAGCCCCAGATCTCCTATCTTGACGGAGCCGGTGGGGCCAGTGATGAAGATGTTGTCACACTTGAGGTCCCGGTGGATGATGGGAGGAGAGCGTGTGTGCAGGAAGTAAAGCCCTTTGAGGATCTGACGACTCCAGCGCTGCAGCAACTTCAGCTTCATCTCCTTGAACCTCTTCAAGTACCTAAAAATAAGACAGGGGGATAAGACTAAACAGCCCATTCTAAACCTATCAAAATACTGGAAGTATTTACTAATGAAATACTTATTTTGACAGCCAAGAGGAAGTTTCAAAGTGAGCTAGTTTCCTGAAATCTCTCCCAGATCACTGTATCCAAAGTGGAGCTATTCTCTGGTGCTTATACTGCACCTTTTATCATACCTTAAAAAGCAAAGACTGTCAAACATGACACAAATATCCTCTTTTCTATGGAAGACATGAATAGTTTTATTTGGAAAAAGGATATCCGCCATTTAAAAAATGTAACACCTTCTTATAAAAGGTAAGAGAGCAAAAAATGAACTGCTTTCAGGTATGGAGATTTTTATGTGCAGTTTAAAGGGGAACTGGATCAAGAGACTCACGTTTTGAGGGTGCCAGAAGTCATAAGTTCAGTCACCAGGAGGATGCACTTGTGGCCCTTTACAGTGGACTTCCAGGAGTCGTGGAAGCGGACAATGTTAGGGTGCTGCAGGCCCTTCAGCATCTCCACCTCCTCACTGAAACGTTGTCTCTCTGCCTTGGTCAGCTTACGGGTCTGCAGAGAAAATCACACTGTTAAGAGTGTTTTTTTATGCTAAGCAGCATCCTGGTTTATAGTCTTATCCAGGTTTTAATCAGATTTGGGATACTGACATGAAAATGAGAAACCGGGTCATTCAGCTCCTTCTATACATGATTCTAAACCATTGTTGCATTTCTGTAAGTTACCTCTGAATTTGAGGCTGAACCCAGTTTGGTTTGTGCCTGGATAAGATAACATAAGACTTTGTTGATCCCTGAGGTGAAATTCATGACCCTAATAAACAGACTGAATTGCAATTTTGTTTCATCTCATTCGTTCAGCCTGACACTGTGTCCGTGTAATGTTAGCAAATTTGTTTTGCCCTAAATAATCAGTAGCAACTGAATTATCCATCCCAATGTCAATTTCAGTCAACACAGAAGCTGTTATTGGTTGCTCCAAGCACTCACAATAACTTAACATTTTTCATGATGATTGCAGAAATATGTCCATTTAAGAGTTGTTATTTATATAATTCTCTCATCCATGCTTAACACCAATTTTTAATAATGTAGGTAAAGTCTGGCTCTGTTACAGGAATATGACATCCCCATTCTTAATCCTGCCTATAAATCTCAGACTGAGCTTGATTGATTTTTGAAGTAGGGACAGCAGCCATCAATAAGCAGCACCAGACTGATTTGAACAACTTAAATTGAGGATACATCTGCACACACAGCAGAGAATTATCAGAAACCTGCTTCAGGAGTTTACATTCCTCAGTATCCCAGCTTCTGAGTTCTCCAGCTAGTTTCTCAAAACCAGGACAAAATGGTGCTAAACTTTTAATCCAACATGGACGAGAAGAAATTTAAACATCTACAATTTACACAACTGGACATCTGCTGATGAAGGTCGTGTGATATTATCAGAAAGCTCCACAACTGTGAGTAAATGGGCCTTGAGGTGAGATTGTTTTGTCAACCATAAGAATGTAGTTGTGCTGACAGTGGAGTTGTAGAGTTCTGGTCTTGTCAGGGCTCTGTACGGTTACATAAGTAGGTAGCAATAAACGCAGCATGTAACTACATGGGACTAATTTGATAAATCACTGTTGCTTTAACTAATGAGCTCACTGTGGGACTGGGTTCATCCATCTGGGTGACCCTCCGATTACATAATCACATTTATTTTCCAATAAGGGGAGCTCTGACTTTACATACCTTAGGAGGAGGTTTCCAGAATCCATGTAAAACTGAACCAAGCACAGCGATCATGCTGGATGAACAAAGACATTTTTGTGTTTCCTCTAGGATGAATGGCCCAATTTAGCTGCTGTTGGAGTAACTCTGCCTGTGGTTGGGTGGTTAGTGGAAAACTCCTGGGAGACTTCAGGACTATGAATCCTGCATTGAGGCAAATTTCTGGGAAAAATGTTCTGCATATGTTTGTGCTTACAATCAACTTGACCGCTACACTCTGTCCGTCCTCATCAACAGACCTGCGGAGTCTTAAGTTACACAACGCTTTTACCTGTGCCATCACCTGTCAATGTGTCATTTTACTCAACATGAGGCCCTGGTCTTAACAGCAAGACAGAGAGGTAACTTCTGACAAAGTGGTTTGCTTTTAGGTCGACAGTGATCAGTTTATTCCTCAAATGCAAGACTTTCTGCAGAAATACTAAATTATTTGGAAAAAAGAAAACATTTTGGGTTAAGAGGAAAAGTAATGACTATGACATGTTTAAAATGAAAAGAGCATTGAAATCTGTCTTCTGAATAAGTCAGTTTCACTTTAATCTAATATATGCTTTGTACAGATTACAAATTACGTACAAATTACAGACGTGGACATTGAGCTTTATCTCACTGTATCTCGAAAAAAACACACACATTATGAGACAAATTAATAGCGTATGTGCAGTTTGTGGATGACCCAGGGTGAGTGAGTCAGAGGGTTGATTCGCATCTGGGTATTTATTTATCTAAGTTTGATAACATCAAACCCCTGTGTGGCAAGCTTTGTCTCCTGTGGATAGTCGCCTGTTTGCAGTTCAGAGTCAGTGTAACATGCATTAGTTGTGGCATGCAGCCGAGCCACTTGAATACCTTTGCGCTTCCAAAACCGCAGGATTTACTAGAGCTTGGATGGCATGATTGCAAAATACTAAAATTCAAAATGAAGAGCTTTGGCAACTTCAGAGGGGCTCTTCGAAAAACCAAAATCCAGTTCATAAAATGTGAGCTGTCAAACAAACTGGAGTGGATGGTGGGTGATTATTTCATCAAAACCTGTCCTTGATTCAAAACACCAAACTAAAGAATTGTTCATTTAAAATGTCAAAAAAAGAGTTTCAAACGCAGTGAAAAAAGAAATACAGATGGAAACAACAAAGCACAAGTATGAGCCGTGATAACATTGTGATGCTGTCATCTGATTGCACTGTTATTGGTGCTGGCTAATTTCGGGGGGGAACAACTCTTCCCTCTTCCCAGTAAACAAGCACACTTAAGCTGTGACTAATAGCAGAAATGAAAACCAACCATACAGTAATGCTTCAGTTTGACTGAGAACTGTTTCCACATCATGACAGCCACCAGTTAAGTCTAATAAACATGATTTTCTTTCATTATTACAGATAACTATAATGTGTTTCAATTAGTGTTAATGATATCTATCTTTAGTCAGAAGCCCTCTGTCACTTCCCAAAGAAGGAATCCTCTGTTGACATGTTGCACGACTTCTACCTAACTTTTCAATGGGATATTTGACTGCATCTACCCCCACTTCTTTCTTCCCTCTGCCCTTTTTGAAAAATGAGGCCAAAATCCATTGCGCAACTCTGGAGAAAGCAATGCAGGGGAGAGCCACAAAAACAAACCATCTCCATTTTGAAAAAGACAATTGTTGATCCATAAAAACTGTCTAGATTCAGAGGTATGATTGAGCCTCTGCTAAACGTTTTCTTGTACTGTTGTCTCTTTGAGGTGGATGTTTTATTCTTAGCTGCTTAGAGGTATGTGTGTGTGTTGAGTTGGGGGTTGGAAATACTTGGGCTTAGTGCCACATAAGTGGACTTACGTAAGCAGTGTTGATGGTAGAGGAGCCACTGGTATCAAGAAGTCCCTGTCAGCGCCCCTATTATGACAACCAGGACATGAACATGACATGTCAGCCAACATTTGCACCAAACCAGGTGGTGTATGCTGCAGCTTACGGGAATGAAAACTTTGGACTGTCCTGAGGTTACACTTAAACAGATACAGTCTGACCAGGACTCAGTGTGGGCAGACTATCTGTGCTATCTGTGGGATTCTTTAATAAATATGGGGAAAAAAGTAGGACAAGTGAAAAAATGCATTTAGTCATACTACTTATAGCTTGCAGGGATGTGTGTTAAGGGTGATAAGCAGAGGTTTCAATAGTTTTTTTTATATGCACGTCTTGATGATAAAATGATAAAAGTATAGTGCTGAAATAATTAGTAATTTAATGGATTATTCAACTGACAGAAAATTACTCAACGAATAATTTTTTTTAACTACAAGTCTGGTGTTATTCTATATTTCTCTTATTTTCACAAAAAAAAAAACATGAAAAACCCAAAACCAACAATGTGTTATTCCATCTCTCAATAGTTCCCCCATTTTGTAATATTAATAAATTATATATAATATTATAAAGAGTACAGTCTAGTTCTGCTCTACATGAAAAGTTAAGATAATTTGTGTTACTGGCACTATATACCCCATCCTTAAATATTTAAAAAACAGCTCACAAGTATAGTTTAATTTGTTTTTTAAAAAGCCAGCAACTTCCTAAAACAGCTGGGCAGTGTAGCTTTTATCAAACATTATGTACACAGAAGTAAACAGTGCAATTGTTGGGGACGATTTTCAGCAGCATAGTAACACACATTTGGTGCTCTAGTGACTATTTATAGAACAGCAGGACAGTAAATGTGGGATTAACTCAAAATAAACTACAGTCCCCATGTCTGTTGTAAGGAACATGTCACCCAATGCAACAGTGCGGTTTATTTATATGCTTTAAATAGTTTTTAGTAAAGAAATTGAGCTCAATGGCACAGAGAAATGAGATTTATCAGATTTCTAAAATGTGGGTTTTGGGCTGTCATTGAGAAAATACAAACAAATTTGAAGATGTCACCTTTGGGCTCTGGGAAAGACTGTTATCTGACTAAAGAATAGATTCATCAATTGAAATAATTAGGGAAGGATTGATCATGAAAACAATTGTTAATGGAATCAAGTCAACCTATGAGACTATGTTCATAATGTGTGAATAAGTAAGCTTTTTGTGTAATAATCTAATTCATCTGGCAAACTTTCCATCTTCCTTGACCTCTGTTTGAACCCTTTTAGGGACTAAAAGGTAAGCCCTTCTTCTTCTTCCAGTCATTAACATATTATTGAAAGTGCTGTTAACAAGCCATAACTCCTGTGCTCCAGATGCTGACAGTGAAGAGCCCTGCAGATATAGACCAGAGTTCACAGAGACCTTCTGATGACAGACAAGGCAGGAGAGAACATGCGTGGCTTGAGAGGCAGTGACGACTTACTCGCCAAGCTCTGGGATTGAGGCCAAAGGCACAGAGAAAGAAAAAATAGTCTGACCTCACACCTCTAGGGCTGACATACTCGACGTGACTGACACACACTTACGTATAAACACGCACGTAGGCACTTACACTGGTACAGTGTTGCATTTAGATGTTTGCAGGTGAGAACTGAGGTGTCACTGTGCTCTTTCCAAGGAAAGCCTGACATGTTGTGTAAATGGAGCGGGCAGAGGAAGGTTAGCCATTAATCTCCTAAAGATTGAGCCTCTGACTGCTGCTCTCACACTGACTACCTGACCTGACTCCTGGCGCCCAGCTAATTACCTGCACAAGTAACAGAGACCTAGATGCAGGATTTCACCATCTCTCATATATTTCAATAGTGAAAAGTCTATTTTTTAGCCCGACCGATACTGGATTTTTGAGGCCAATACCGATATCGATATTT